AGGTGATAGGGTTGTTTTGTAAAACAAATTTTAATACATAGCTTTGAACAAATAGAATAGCCTGTTTTACTAAAAGCAGAACATTATATTGACAATGTAATCTTTTTGTTAGATTTAAGCAGGGAGATACAGAAACCACACATATGGTGTAAGAAAGTACATTCTGGACTCATCCATGCTAATACACACTTCATAATTTGAAAGCTTATTTCCCAACTTATACTTAGTTCCTAGCTCTACCCCTGTGGTTTTTCTAATCCATCGCTGGCACTGTCTTTAAAAGTAATATATAGATGAGAGTGTTTGTGTGCTATCCTATAAATTAAGAGTATGATTATACAGTCATCATTCTGTAGAGACACCACAGCAGAAAGAGAAAAATATCAGTGAAAGCTATTTAATTAGTCTGAAGGAGAGGGACCAGACAGAAAGCACATCAGCTGATGGGAAATACTGAAATTGGAAGAAACAAAAGTAAGCATGGAAGTTTATCTCCATGAATTCTAGTGTTCACCAGGGACCTAGAATCAAAGAAAAGCTGCTACATGGATTATACTGAGGTTTTAAGAAGTACAGTGAAAATCAGACAATTACTAGCCAGGGATCTCTGTTAAACTCACACAAGTCTGCCAATAGAACTTTCTCTTTCCACAAATCAAAACCTTACATCAATAAAAAACTACTGTCTTACCAGATTAGAAGTCAATTCCTTCACTAGGTGAATGAGAGCTAACATTGGTCAATAGTGAAGTAAGCACAAAAGTCCCTAAGCCTTAAGTCTATATCAGGAGTCCTCCTTTTACCTTAAAGTGTTCATTTGTCTATTTCTTTTTTGTTGTTAATCATTTTGGGGGGGCTCATACAACTCTTATCACAATCCACACATACATCAATTATGTAAAGCACACTTATACATTAATTGCCCTCAGCGTTCTCAAAACTCGCTTTCCAAGCTGGGCTATCACCCTCTGAGCTTGGTGGGCCCAGTTGTGCTCCGCTCCTGCACTGACCCATGGCCCTGCATGGGACAGCACCAGAGACACAGTGTGGGATGGGCGACTGAGCTGACCCCACCACACTGAGGCAAAACACTGGGGGCGTGCAATGGAGCAGCAGGGAAGCAGAGCAAAAGGTCCCGAGGGAATACAAATGATGTACTCTGGGGCCAGGACGTGGTACCCCATTAGACTCATCCAGAAAATGCTCCTAAAGGTCAACAAACAGACCTTGAACTACTAACAGGCTTTTTTCTTTTCTTTTCTTATCCTTTTTTTTCAGCCTATTTGTTTTGGTTTTTTCCTTTTCTCTCTTCTTTTAAATTTTGTATGTCAGTAGCTTTTTTGTTGGTTAGCTTGTCAGTGCTGCTGCTGTCGTCACCATGTTCTTATGTGCCACTTTGGAACTGTGCTGTCAAAGCCATCCCCAATTTTATGCACATATTAATATATCTGCATGTCCACCTAGATAAGAGAGGCTGGATCAAAAAAATGTGAGAAGAAAATAAAGGGACCAATGGCCCCAGAGGGACATTGGAGTGTGAGAGGTAGGGGAAGGGAGGAGGGTTGGCCAACCTAGGGACAAGGGAATGACAAACGGTTCCAAACCAATGGTAGGGAGGAGATGGGAGGACTGGTAGGGAGTGACCAAGGGCAAGGTAACTGAGAGGAACTACCAAAATCAGAATGAAGGCTGGACATTGTAATGGGACAGGAGGAAAGCGTAA